ACTCTACTGAGGGAGACATACTGGGACTCTGTCTCCAAAAAAAAAAATACATATATATGTGTGTGTGTGTGTATTTATTAATAACAAATAATGTAATTTTAAATAGGAAATGTTTCTGATGTGATCTCATAAAATAACTACGTAAACTGAACTTATTTTATAAATGTCTTTTTTATTTTTGAGATAGTTTCTTGAGCTTCGTTGTCTATGCTGATCTCCAACTCCTAGGGCTCAAGCAATCCTCCTGTCTCACCCTCCTAAGTAGCTAGGCCAGGGGTCCTCAAACTTTTTAAACAGGGGGCCAGTTCATTGTCCCTCAGATCGTTGGAGAGCCAGACTGCGGGCCCCAGGACGAGTTGGCTGCTAAGCAGGACAGGCAGCAGCAGCAAAAACACCTGGCGGGCTGGATAAATGTCCTAGGCGGGCTGCATGTGGCCCATGGGCTGTAGTTTGAGGATGAATGAGCTAGGCAATACAATATATGTCTTAGAATCTATGGTCTTGGCTCAGTGCCTGTGGCTCAAGTGGCTAGGGCACCAGCCACATACACCTAAGGTGGTGGGTTTGAATCTAGCCAGGGCCCGCCAGGCAATGATGCCAGCTGCAATCAAAAAAAAAAAAAAAATTTCTGGGCTCTGTGGCGGGTGCAGCTGCTTGGGAGGCTGAAGCAGGAGACTCGCTTGAGCCTAGGAGTTGGAGGTTGCTGTCAGCTGTGATGCCACCGCACTCTCCCCAGGGGGACAGCTTGAGGCTCTGTCTCAAAAAAAAGAATCTATGGTCTTGGCTCGGTGCCTGTGGCTAAACTGGCTAAGGTGCCAGCCACATACACCTAAGGTGGTGGGTTCAAATCTAGCCTGGGCCCACAAAAACAACAATGATAGCTGCAACCAAAAAATAGCCCGGCGTTGTGGCGGGTGCCAGCTACTTGGGAGGCAGAGGCAGGAGACTCCCTTGAGCACAGGAGTTGGAGTTGCTGTGAGCGGTGATGCCACAGCACTCTACTCAGGAGGATAGCTTGAGGCTCTGTCTCAAAAAAAAAAAAAAGAATCTATGGTCTTTAACTTTATCACTCAAAAGACATTCTGAAGGTCTTAACAGAAATAAATGCTGACTATCTGAATAATTGAATGAGACTCTCTAAAAATTTAAAATATAAGGAATGAAGCAATGGGGCTTATTAAGAAATAGAGGAAGAACTCCTAATCCCCATGATTAACATATTTACTGCAAATCATTTAAGTAAAAATGCAAGACTTAGTTATTTTGCTAGGGTACTTACAAAAACAAAATCAGACACAATAGGCTTCTTACATTTACCATTTACTGTTTCTACTAATCCTACTTATGTATGAGTCATAGAAAAAAATGTCTACTCTGCAATATTATTTTCTTTTTATAGCACTAACTATGTTGGTATTTTGTAATTTCCTTGACCATAAATAGTAATGTTTAATTTTTCTCTACCAGTCAGAAAACTAGAAATTCTAAAATGAAAGATTTTATTAAAGTATAAACCAATTTTTGAAGCAAAGAAACATGTAAA